CCTCTAAGAATCCTCCCACTCCCGTACTGGGGCTTGAACTCAGAGCCTTATGCTCTCACTTGGCTTCTTTTGCTCAAGGCTAGAGCTATACCACTTGAGCGACTTCCAGCATTTCTCTGGCTAAATGAAAATAAGAGTCTCATGAACTTTTCTGCCCAGGCTGACTTCCAAGTGCAACCCTCAGATCTCAGCTTCCTGAGTAGTTAGGATTACAGGCATGAGTCACCAACTCCCCTGGCAACCTATGAGAATCTTATATTCTGACCACTTCCAGACAGGAACAGAACATTTGTGAGAAGTATGAAAATTTCTTTAATTCTTAAGGTTTTATCACACATTTGCATTTTCACTTATTTGACAACTAGTATTGGAACACTCTCTCCCTGCCCCTCTCTCTCCCCCTCTCTCTATCATAGATAGATAAACAGGCACTGGGGACACAGCAGTGAGTTGGATGGAGACTGCATCAATACTGGTCCCTTCTCCTTTCAGTAAATATTTCTCCTGGTGCTCAAGAATCTCTTGTACACACACACACATACACACACACACACACACACACAGAGGAATAAAGGACATAAGTTCTTCAGAGCACCCAGTGCCTGCAGAAGCCATCTCTTTTCTTGGGATTGTAATACTACATTAAAGACTTTAATCTTCTGACATCCCTCCCAACTCAACTCAGAGTCTAGCAATAATTACAGCAACTTCTAGGACCCTCCCTGCATGTACAGATACCATGTTAGAACCTTATTCAGGTTCTGAGTTTAGCTGAATCTGTTCAGCATGAAATAGAGAAGTGGTCTGTGGGGCCCTAAGCTTAAATCTGAGCTTCCTCCTGAAGTCCAGCCAAGAGAACGGCACCAAGGCCTTCTCTCCCTCTTCACACTCCCAGATGGGAACAGCCCACCCAGATGGACTTGAGCCCACCACTGCAGCTGAGACCACCTAGCCCTGATTACTCTCAGAGTGGGGTCCCCACAGAGGCTCACCATGCCCTGCAGATCACGCTTTGTATCGTTCTCAATGCTGTATGGGAACAAACAGCACCATTTCTGCTCACATCTTTTATATGTTTGTGCTGCTACTGGGGCTTGAACTCAGGACCTGGACACTGTCCCTGAGCCCTTTCACTCCACTTGAGCTACAGCTCTACTTGTGGAATTTTGCTGGCTACTTGGAGATAAGAGTCTCACAGACTTTCTTGCCCAGGGTTCAAACTGTGATCCTCAGATTCTGAGTAGCTAGATTACAGATGTGAGTCACTGGTGCCCAGCAAAACTTTGTTGAGTGTAGTGGAAGTTATGTGAAGTTTTCCAACATATGTGAAGTTTTCCAACTGTACATGACAATTTCACAAATGTTCTTGCCCAGGCTGGCTTCAAACCATGATCCTCAGATCTCAGCCTTCCAAGTAGCTAGGATTGTATGTGAGTCACTGGCTGCCGGCCCTCAGAGACTTCTAATCAAAATGAAGGCAACAGAGCCAACACAGCTAGGCCAGCCTGTATCTCCAGACAGCCGACATCCTGAGGAGCTGCCAGCATCTCCAGACTGGCCTCTTGCTGATCACAGGTTGGACACTGCCCAGTTTTCTTTCTCCTGACTTCAGGTCACATCACAAACATGCTTGGGCTGTTCAGAGCTCTCTCTCTAACTTCCTGTGAGGTCAGATTCTATCTAGCTTTGCTCCAACTGGCAGGCTCAGAAAGTTCCTTCATCAACTAGGAGGGCCTGGCTGTTCAGCCCGCCACCAAGGGGAGTGGCCTGTCTGATGACCACTTCTCTAAGCCTCACCCCTTCGGCCCATCCCTCACTTCCTGAACCAGGGCAGGGCCCCCAGGAAACCACTTACCACAAATTTTGACAGCAGCATTTTAGATTACACCCTTTGGAGGCCCAGCAGAGAGGGGAAGAGACTCATTTGATGAGCTGATGGGAAGCAGTTTGAAGCCTACAGGCCTGGCCCCGAGCTCTCACTGTGTTGTTCTGTTACTGAAATCCTCAGCCAGGCACTGTAGTGGGTACCTGCACTTGAAAAGCTGAGGCAGAGCTATCTCTCTCTTCAGGCCAAGAATAGGAGACCAGTCTGGGCAGGCTAGCAAGACTCCATCTCAAAAATTAATTCTGCCAGGCACCAGTGGTTCATGCCTATAATCCTAGCTGCTACTCAGGAAGCTGAGATCTGAGGATTGAAGTTTAAAGCTGGCTGGGGCAGAAATGTCCTTGAGACTATCTCCAATTAACCAGCAAAAAAAAAAAAAGCCAAAAGGGAAACTGGTTCAAATGGTAGAGCACTAGCCTTGAGCAAAAAAGCTCAGGGGCAACATCCAGTTCCTGAGTTCAAGGCTCAGTAGCGACACAAAATAATAATTAAATATTAATATTAATAATAATAATAATAAATTAGGATCCCTGATGAATCCTTATCAAGGATCTTTGCAGAGCTTCCCCAGGGCCTCCCTCAACCTCTTGCCAACTCTGCAGGCTCTCTTCATGTTCCCCTCACCTTTCTGTTATCTCCCCTTCCCGGATAACTGATCTAGAGGTTGAGGAGAAGTAGACAGCCTTCACAGTTGTGAGGCCAAGAGGAGAGGCTAGGGAGAAGGTGCGATTCATCAGCAGATTGTAAGCAGGGGGAATTCCAGAGCAAGGGAGGGTCATGGCTGCCCCAGGTTATGCCATCTATCCTAGCGGCAAGAGCCAGCCTCCATCTGGGGCCACACATCCTCAAACTTCTATAAACCAGGGTAGGACAGAAAAGGGTCACTACTAGAAAGGCTTCAGTCCGGCTCTCTATTTTCATTGCCCTTGAATTGCCTTATTTCTGCTCCTGCTCAAAATTTAAAAGTTTGAAATAACCCACACAACCCCTGCAAAATTTGGTTGGAGAATTCATTTATTGCACAGCTCTACACGCATGATCTCATTGTTCATGTTCACAATGCTACATGTTGTAGTTATGTGACTAACTCCATTACACAGGTATGAAACACAGGCTCAAAACAACATGTCAAGGCTGAAGGGCTAGTAAAATGGCAAGTAAAGATTTGAACCTGACTGTGTCCAATTCTAAACCATGTTCCTAAGTGTGATCACAGTGGGATGCTGAAGAAAAGCAAATCAGAACTGAAGGAAAATAGCCCCCTGTAGACAATCAGTTCTAAAGTCCTGCCTGAAGGAAACCTTTACTGGATACCCCAGGCTAAACTATCAGCCCCCCACTTCCAAGACAAGTTGCTTCTACTTTCCCTACCATAGTCTTCTGCTATCATTAATACGCCCACCATTTCAATTAGCTAACTCATTTATTATCAGCTTCCCCCATCAGATGTCTGCTCTATGACACATGATAGTTGGAATGCTGCATTTTGTCCACTGCTGGGTCCCCAGAACCCAACAGTCATATAATATATAAAATGCTAATAACTGCTGGATGAATGAATATATAAATGAGTCCTGAAATAGAAAAGTGAAAGAGGAACAAAGGAGAGGAAAAAAGACAGAATCAAGCCGGGCGCTGGTGGCTCACATCTGTAATCCTACCTACTCAGGAGGCTGAGAGCTGAGGATCACAGTTCAAAGCCAGCCTGGGCAGGAAAGTCCGTGAGACTCTTATCTCCAATAAACCACTAGAAAACCGGAAGTGGCACTGTGGCTCAAGCGGTAGAGCACTCTCCGTGAGCTGAAGAGCGCAGGGGCAGTGCCCAAGCCCAGAGTTCAAGCCCCACAACCGGGGGAAAAAAAAAAAAAAAGACAGAATCTGGACCCTGAGAGGAGTCTGACAAAAGGAAATGAGGGCCTGGCACCCCCCCAGGGGGCTCCAGAGAACCTTGTTGATGGCAGTAGTGATTTCCAGTTGCCACAGTCCCAGCTTGAAGGCCTCTAGAAACTGGGGAAGAGCAGCAAGCAGGGCAGAGAGGGTTGTAGCCTTGGAACAAAGGCCTATGGACATACAGCTGGCCAGAGGGGCGGGGCAGAGCAGTGGCATGGGCAGAGAGGCAGCCTGGGCAAACAGGGAAGAGGGAGGAGTCACTGAGGAGGGGCTGAAGGCAGCTCTGCAGCTGCAAAGGTCTCACACACACACACACACACACACACACACACACACACACACATTCACCAGAGTCCCCTCCACCACCAACACAACACAGAACAGCTTCACAATTAACTATCACCAGGGCTGAGGCAGTGTTTGTGGCTACCTCCCAGCTCTGGGCCAAGAGCTTCTTCTCCAAGTTCTGAGAATGGGATGGAGGAGGTAAGATGTATGGTATTGCTACAGACCCTTTCCCCCTCCAGTCCAGGCCATCTCTCAGGCGGTGGCCTTTGGCCTGCTTTGGTGTAAACACACTGACTCTGGGATAGCAGTGGATTTGGTAAGGCCAGTGTTTACCCTGGAGCTGAAATATCTCAGGCCACCCTTGCTCCTGGTGTCTACCATCTCCTAGTGGCACACATGGGATATATCCAGTTGTAAAGCTCTTGAAAAGAGCCCCTCCACCCACTGGGCTGCTTTTCTTCTTCTTCTTCTTCTTCTTCTTTACTTATTTGGTTTTCTTGGTATAGAAGTTTACAGAGGCCGGGCGCTGGTGGCTCACGCCTGTAATCCTAGCTACTCAGGAGGCTGAGATCTGAGGATCGAGGTTCAAAGCCAGCCCGGGCAGGAGAGACCGTGAGACTCCTATCTCCAATAAATCACCAGAAAACCAGAAGTGGCGCTGTAGCTCAAGTGGTAGAGCGCTGGCCTTGAGCTGAAGAGCTGAGGAACAGCTCCCAGGCCCAGAGTTCAAGCCCCACGCCGACCAAAAAAAAAAAAAGTTTACAGAGCACTTTACCAAAAACCTTACAAAGAAAAGCAAGCAATCCTGCTTTATTCATTTGGAATTCATGTAGTGTCAGAAAAGGTAAGTAGATTGGCTAGGCAGATCAGAGTGGTGAGGAAATCTGAGCTCTGGTCCTTATTTGGCCAATAGGGACCCAGGCTGGAATCATCTCACCTCAGGCTCTTCTGCCTTCCAGTGTAAATGGAGCAGGCTAATCTGAGCAGCCTTCCAATCTGGTGACTATCCATCTTTGATGGTATGTAGCACGTCCAGGCTAAAAGTCAGAAGGCAGTCCAGGCTGGACTCCCAGTCCACTGCCCTTTCTATTCATCCTGCTGCCACTTCTAATAACAAGAAATAGAAATGCCACAAAGCAGTTCTTAAACAAACCAATCCCTGAGCAGCTGGGATTTGGCCTGAGGCTAACCAGCTCCAAGCCCCATCCCCAGGGACCCAAGGGATTTGTTGTCCAACCTTTCAGGAAGGGGAGGGGGGAGACAGAAGAGGCAGCTACCACGTTAATAGCAGGTGTACAAAGGGAAGACACACCAGCTAACTAGAGTGAGCCAGAGGTGAAGAATGACCGTGAAAGATTCACTTTCTTTAGGGTCTCATTCCCTAGGCTTTCTGGGTAGCTGGGGTTCAGTGGCGCAGGATCCCGAATGCCGCAATGTTATGGCTGGAAAGGTAGCCTCTTCCTCGGGAAGGCCAGGCCTCTCTGGGCTGTCATTACTCTCCCTGCTTATTATTTCTTGAGCAAGCGCCATGTGACTGGGCTGTGTGCAAAAGCCTGATTGGGGAGACTAGGAACCCCCAGGCCTGAGTTCCCTGTTAGTTGATGCAGTCCTGGTCGCCTCCTGGGGGCCTCAGAGCAACGGACTGGCCAGTATACGGCCCACAGCTTAGGGAGTGACCTCCAGAACGAAACTCTTATCATGCCTTTGCCACCTCCCCCTTAACGCCCCCCAAAAAACCCTCACACACACACACACTCGCCTCCAGCCATTACAGGTCTCCCTTTTTCCTTTTGTTTATGAAAAGTTGCTCCCCCACAAAAAGTAAAAGCTACCTACACAACGTGGTGCAAAGCTCAAACCTGAACTCCTTAGCCCGGCTTCGCAAACCACAGGGCTGAGAACCGGGTGCAAATAACCAATGCCGTGGATGGCAGGAGCGGGCAAGGTCGAGGCAGTCCGTGGCAAACAAGCGGCTCGGTGCCTAAAGCTCCGGGACACCCCGCTACAAGCGCCCGCTCGAACCACGCCGAGAGAGGCGGGGAGCCAGCTTCCCAGAAGCCAGCACCGTGCGGCACTGACCGGGAACCGGCCGCGCGCGGCGGGGCCGCGGGACGGAAGCCGAGTGCTCCCCCAGGCCGGTGCGCGGCCAGAAGGCAAGGAGCGGAGCACCGGTGCGCCCGCCGGAGCGCAGCCTAGCGGGCTCCCCGGACTTCAAACCAAGCCTCCGCGGAACCAACCCCAGGCACTCGACCCTTCTGTTTCCGGGGTGGGGGCAACAAGGACGGTGTAGATCTCCACCGAGACCGACGCGCACTCTCACCCAGCCCGCAGCCGACGCCGCACGGGCCTTCCCCAGGGGCTCCCAGTCCTCGGTCCCCGCCTGGGGGCTTGCCCCGAAGGGCCCGGGAAGGCGGGGACCCTGCGTCCCTCCAGGCACAGCCACTTGGCCGACCGCACGTGGGTTCCGGGAGAGGGGAGAAGCGGGGGTCACTCACCGATCGGCGGCCACCCCGCTGACTCCGGACCGGCGCGGCGCGCGGAGCTGCCGGGTGACGCGGCGA